GGGAGTCAACGTCTGTGTCAGCCTTTCCACCAAATGCTACCAGAAGACTTTGATGCAATTATCCCATCCCCTCCCTGCTGTCTCTCTCTCTCTAAGCCTGTCATCTGTATAGAGTGAAGCGACTTATTCTTAATTTATTTATTAATTTATGTTTAATAAACTATGTAATATTAAATTTATATTATATATGAATCGTGTATAATTTATATATAAAAAAATTATGTAATATATATTTTTTTTGATTAATTTTATCTATAATCAATTGTTTATTAATTGTGTCGTGTCTGATTTACTCATTTACGAAACAGGTAAATTAAAAGAGATTTAAACTCTCTAATTCCGTATGATTTTAACTAATCATGTAATATTTTTATGTATATATATATATATATATATATAAATACATTCTGGTCTATAATTTTTGAAGCGACTTATTCTCAATTTAAACTCTCTAATTTCGGGTATTATGACTACTATTCATAGCGGGTCGGTATTATTACGACTTGAAAAATAGTACTGACTATAAAATGTCAAACAAACAACGTATAAAATAGATTTCACATATTATTTTCTTAATACCACCTCCTTATACCCACTCTAATACTCAAAACAAACACCCCCGGTGTATACCCCAGAAGCACACCTGTTAGGCCAAAGGGGTGTTTTGGGTACAAAGAGCATAAAGAAAGAGAGACGTAGAGATGGTTGTGAAGAGTGAGCGAGTAGATAGGAGTTTCGAAAGTTTCTGCGAGTACATAATTTGGTTACAGAAACGAACACCGAATGTGAAATTCATCGTACACCATAGATCCTATAATATCTTCTCCTGTCTTTTTGTTGGTTTTTTTTGCAGGTAATTCCAACCCCCCCCCATCTTCTTCTTTTTCTTTTTTTTTTTTTTTGTTTTACACAAATTTCCCTTACTCTTATGTGGTGTTAATCTCTTCCAAGTAACTCCATTCAAAAAAAATTTATCCCCAACTTGACTCGTGTTTTAAACAAAATAAATTTGAATAATTTATTAAATTCGTTTAAAAAAGTAAGTTTAAACATTTTGATTTATACTCACAAAATTTGACTTGATTAACACTCATATTTCCTCCACAAGTAAATATTATGTGTAACGTTGATGCCATATATCTATTGTCACGCAATATAATCGTTACAATGATAATTTATCAAATGGACAAAGTGGAATCTGCACCTTCAAATAACTACCCTCCCCGTAAAGAAAAAAAATGTTCATTTCTATGCTGATGTAATATCATTAATTAATAATATATAAACAAATAAGAAAATGAACCACACAAATTAATTACTATATGTCAATGTAAGCTAATAGTTACTAAATTGGGGTTCATTTTACACATTTAGAATTTTATTATTGATTGGTCATATACTATGTCAATAATAATGACATTGTATCACCGTTATATTGAATTTTTTCTCATGTAAGATAGTAACTATTTCAAAAATAAGATTTCCTTCACCCACTTATTTATTTATAATTATACGACTATATTATGTGATAATGTTGATTTGATATAACCTTTATACTTAATATTTACCCCTACTCTATATAGGGATTGTGAGCTATTATGTTAATTTGCAGGTTACTTTTTTTTTTTCTTCCATTGTTTTATTAAGAAAATGGCATTTAATAATATTTTTAAAAAAAATATTTTTAAAACACTTTTATTTAATATTATTGTTAGAAAATTGAATTCTCAACTTATAAAAGTATAATAATAATTAAGATGACTTAATTTCTATCTACTTTGATTTAATGGTATAAAATTTATTCTCAAATTTGTTTTACTATTCAAAAACTTTATTTTCTCTGCACAATTTTTATTACTAAACAATTCAAGCAATACACTCCCCAATATCAAAATAATCCATTAATCTACATTTACCTCTTTCTTCTCTCTCCACTACCTCAATTTTATTTCTTTATTTACCTTAATTTCAATTACATAATTAAAAGATGATCATGATGTATAATGAATCATTGTCATTAAATTGATAATAGACTTTAGTTAGAGTATCTTTAACTCTGACTCAAATTTAAATTTAAATTAAAAAAGCCTAAAAAAATTTTCTAATCTTATACTCAAACTTATATCAAATTAAAAAAAAAAATTATTCTGCACCAAAATTAAGAAAGACTCACATTTTATATCAAATTTTCAACGATAACTTTTTATCCTATCTAAACTCAAAAAGCTCTTTTGACGAAACAAATACTTGCCTCTCCGAGCTCTATCTTTAAAATCGTTGTCATCGCCTCCAACCATATTGTCTATTCTTACTTTGATTATAACTTTTTATTCTGCTTTTTCTCCCTCGTTTCTCTCTCTATCTCTCATTCTCCATGAAAACCCACAAATCTATCTCTCAAAGATATTAGTATTCTCGTCTCTTTCATAGGTTAACATTAGTAGAGTTTGTAAGAAATAAAGTTTTAATATTGGATAAAATATTTAAATTGAAATTTTTTTTAAAAAATAATCTTTGAGACAATAAGAATTTTTTTAAAAAAATAAATAAATATTTAAATTTATCTATTAGAGTGTTTTATATCAAACTAATTTTTTTACTCATTGCGATACATAAAATCAGCAAATTAGGTGAAATTGTCCGGAAGTTCTGATTAAGGGTACTTTTGTCAGTTTACAAACCTGGTCGGTAGGTCATCGAAGATACTGTATGCATTTAATGTAGCTGTTCCTTCGCAACGGCCAATTATAGAGAAGGAAGTGTTCCACGCGTTACTTGAACGCGTGGGGAGAGGCAACTGAGCAATTGGGAAAACTATGGGACGGTGATTCCTCCCCCCACTCTGTTCCCTTTGTATTGGGCTCTCACTCTCACGCGTTTGAGTAGGTGTCTGTAGTCAACAACTACAAAGTTACAAAAATAACCCTAAAACAGCTTTTGGATCATAACTTCTAGGGTAAGGGTACACTACATTTGTTGAAGCAATCGTTAATTTTGAATTGAATAATTTGTAATTATTAATTAAAAAATTACACACGTGATTGCACATTTTTATTGGTCAAAAAATATAAGTGCGATATCGAAAAGGTGTATTTCGGTGGAGGATAGAAAAAATAAATTATATTTTTTTCCTCCGCTAAGAAAGCAAGAGAAAGAAAAAAAAATATCATTTGAAAAAAAAGAAAGATAGATAAAATAACATCGATTGAGAGGTAACCGCCGCTGAGGTGGAATCCCTACTTAGGTGTGACCGTAACATTTCGAATCCTTGAAGTTCATGAAAATTGATTGGTGATTGGAGGTTATAAAGGATTTGAAAAGAAGAAAAAAGGAGGAACGGAAAACTGTTGTGGTGCCTTTCTAAGACTCTATCTTATGCTACATGTCGTGAGCAATAGAATAAAATATAAACACCGACTCTTATATACTTATTTATGCTCATGAATCCTCATGAATACTATTGTTTTGACATGAATAGTTTGTTTTTGATTAGATCGAAATAAAAATTAGTCAATATGTGTCTAAACTAATCTGAACATCCAGATCTTTGAAAAAAAAAACAAAAACAAAGAATGGGTTAGTCTTGTGGTAGCTGATTGTTGATTTGATGAAAGTGACACCTATTTTTAATGACGTTTACTTGACAAGGTGCTTTTCTTAATAATGCATTATGAGTTCTTTTTGTCTTTGGTGCAATTATCTTGGATTTTATCAGTAGTCTCCAAGTTAAATTGGGGAGAAGAAATCTACGAAGGATAAATTATTTATAGCTTAATTTCAAGTGGTTGTCAGGATTTGAATTCAAGATACATAAATTTTTAAATTGTTCCTGTTGCTACTTAATCTATCCTTTGGGCTTACTTCATCCATGTTGTCATAAAGAGTAGCCATCGCAGTCTAATTAACAAGTTCTTTCCTTAACAAGTTCCTTACTCTTGAGTGTTACCATTCAAATCACAACACAACATTTTTGTGAGTGTAAACTTACCATGTAATTGATCCTTTTTTGGATGCACCCTTGGCTCATTCGCTCTACCATGAGCATGATGAATCACTTCGTATCGACTTGTTGACGAAGTGTTTTATAAATTTAATTATATGAATCAGAAAAACTTGAACATTTCGTGCATAGTGGATGAATAAACGCGAACATTAAAGAGAATTGCTTCATAGTCTCACAACTCACACCTTTCGATAGTCAACCTAAAATAAACAATTTATAATTTTTTTGAAAACAAAGGAAATTACAAATTCAAAATAAAGTTTGCCCTTGCCCTTTTTAGCACATAGCCATAATTCAATGATTAAAACAACACATCAGTAAGTTAGGGACTATAAGTTTGACAGGTTTTTTTTTTTGGTTTCTTACTCTTGCATATGTAGTCACATTTTGCAAATTTACTTACACAATTCTTTCATATAGTTGATGTTTATTACTTGTTTTGTAAATCTTGGTTCTTACTAAATTAATTAGCATAAAAATGATCGACTTTTATCTTAGCGGATTAAAATAAGGAACCGATAAATATTGTTAGAAAGACTAATCATTGATTTATTATGCAAGCACAAAAATGAATGTGGTGTATGTCCCCCTTTCTGTTTAAAGCTCCTCTCTTGGCTTATTATCTTTTTTATTTTTTCCAAGTAGACGAGAGACTGTGGTAGAACAAGCAACCCTCGTTGTGTTCGGGTGCCCAAAGTTAAGCGCTATTAGACTACGACATCTACCAATAATGATTATGGAGTTCCGCGAGGCAGCAACTAGTGATACTTCGATCAAATAGATGAACGCTGATTACCACTCCATAGAAGCCCGAAAAATTAAAAAAAATGATCCTTTGTTTTGCTAAATGTACTAGGAAAATGCAAATGAAATTCAGAGAGACCGCAGTTTCCAAAACCAGGGAGAGAGAGAGAGAGAGAGAGAGAATGAAATTCAGAGAGACCGTAGTTTCCAAAATAGGGAGAGAGAGAGAGAGAGAGAGACGTTCCGTTTATGAGACCCGTTCTAGCAAAGAGTCAAAAGACCTTTGCAGTTTCCACATAGCTTCATTCAAGTGGCTTTCCAGCAATTCACAGCTAAACATTGGGTAAAATGGTAAAGGAAAGCCTGTACAAATTGTAAGACACGGCCTATCTCTGAGCAAAGCCGCCTCATAACTCAGTTCCTTCCAGTTCAGTTAACCTAGAGAGAGAGGGAGAGAGCAGATGCCATTATAGAGAGAGAGGTAAGTGTAAAACCATAAGAGACGGAGAAGATGATTTGTAGGGTTTAAACTACTGCATCTCTGAGTTCCCAACTGTAATAAAGGTGAGTTCTCAGTCTTACACTCTCCTACAAAACCCCTCTAACCCCAACATGTCCTTTAAAGCTATTCAGTAACACACACACACATTATAAAGCAAACCACAAAGAAAACCAAAGTCTTTACCCTTTTCTCTATCAATAATCTCCACCTTAAAGCTGTCAGGTTTCGCTCCCTCTCTCTCTCTTCCCCCCTCTTGATGTACCTACTTATAACTAGTTTTGTGTACTGTACAGGTTCAAGGGTACTTTGAAGAGCTAGAAAGCAAAGTGGTTTCGGTTTTGTGGGGTTGAAAGAGCGACAGTAGAGGCGATGTTGGACTACGAATGGGGTAACCCATCAACAATCATGCTGTCCGGTGAAGAACCCACCGGAGACTCCGATCAAACCCGTCAAACCTTTGACCATTACAACCAAACTTTCAACGAAACAACCCTACTCAACCCAAATGGCTTCAACACTCCACAATTCCACCATCACCACTTCCACCAGCAACAAACCCAAAATCATACCCATTTCAACTCTCTATACGATCCACCGGCCTACGGCGGTGGCGCGTCATACCCACCTCCACCACCCTCAATGCTGTCTCTTGAACCGGCTGGTCCAACCGGGTTCATGATGGTGCCGAAGAGCGAACCGGCTTCTGGGGTGGTCGATTTCAACAGTAGGATCGGGTTGAATTTGGGTGGAAGGACGTATTTTTCTTCGTCGGAGAATCATGATTTCGTGAACCGGCTTTACCGGCGGTCGAGGATGGTTGAACCCGGTTCAGTGAACTCGCCGCGGTGTCAAGCCGAGGGCTGCAATGCCGATCTGACTCACTCGAAACACTACCACCGGCGACATAAGGTCTGTGAGTTTCACTCCAAAGCCGCCACAGTCATCGCCGCCGGGTTGACTCAGCGATTCTGCCAACAATGTAGCAGGTTTGAATTTACCATAACACCCTCCCCATGCATTCACATTTTCATTCTCAACCATATCAGATCACTTTTTTTCTTCATCATCTCAACATCCGTAGAGGAGGAAGAGGATGGGGATGTCGAAATGACGAAAATGCCCTTTGGGTGTGGCAAAGAGCAAATGATTGATTGGGCCGTACGTGTGGTGATCCCTAGGGCATTTGCGTCCATAAATTGTTTCCCTATCAAGTTTGCCGTTATAAGTACTGTTTGCTTTTGCTACTTATAGTAAGTACTTATTTAGTATCACTTTGCCATAATTAACATAACAGATGGTCTGTTTGGCTGAATAGAAAATGTTTTCCAAGTGAAAAATAAAATTCTCATTAATCTGACTACCAAACAGGTTTCATCTCCTCTCGGAATTTGATAACGGGAAACGAAGCTGCCGGAAAAGGTTGGCCGATCACAACCGTCGGAGGCGAAAATCTCAGCAACCAAACGGCCAGGAAAATAGCAACAAGTCTCAGCTTGACAATGCCCGTAATTCATCGTCTGAAAACCTTGCTAGTAAGCTCCATTTAGAGATTTTTTTATTTTTTGTTTTATGGGTCGTGCTAGAGTGACAAAAACTCTTTTCAGGAAAATTAAGACGATATAAAGAATATTAACATGACTCTTACTTGTAAAGATGACACACACAAATCGAAAAATAATTTAGAGTGAAAAAAAATAAAAAAAGATGAAAAATCGAGACCAAATGAAATTTGGCTAATTTCTTGAGTAAAATTTGAATTCTAAATGAGTAATGCCACTAAAAACACCACTATATCAATGTCACATTATTTGTTCTTGTTTTTAATATTATTTTTCTTGTTATATTGGAGTCCATACAAGATCAATCTTATATTTCGGTTCATAAATTCGGTCAATTCAAGAACAACTAAGTTCGAGAATAAGTGGTTGGCCTAACGAGTACCGTAGTTCATCCTTGGATTGTGGTTTGAATCTTGCCATCCCGTCTCCTGTAACAGTTTCAAATAGTGACAAGAGGGAAAAAAAAAGGACAAACAAGTTTCATAATATATAGAAAAAGTTCCAAAAAACAGGAAAAAAATGTAGAAATTTTATTCGGGAAGATTGGTTGAAACATTTTGACTCATTTCGAGATATTACAAAGTACAGGAATCTTAATATTCAATTACTGACTCGTTTTGATTTCTACTGAAATCGAAATATCTGTTTACATAAACTAAATTTTGATCTCTCATTGCATGAATTTAGTATAAACACCAAGAGAAGAAAGTGGAATTTGATTTGTGGGAAATTTCTTTTCCTTACTTTTGTAGGGTCTCCACCTGACTCAGGAACTCATTCATCTTCATCTGTGACTATTGCCATTTCCCCACCAAGAATTTCATTGGAGTCTTTCCGGCAAAGATCATATCAAGCTCCGGCAACCGCTTCATCGGCATCAACCAGCTCACTCTTTTTCTCAAACGGTTAAATTTTCCAGGAAAGTGGGAATTGAATTCCCTTCTCAAGAAACTTTCATCTGGACTGAAAATTGAAATGCCATAGTTATGATCATCCTGGGATAGTTGTTAACTTGTTTCAATCTTTCCTCTTAGAGAAGTTGAATTCTATAGAGATGTTATTAAATGTAGCTACTAGTACTACCTAGGATCTATTTTTCATTCCTGGGAAAATGAATTCCCACTTGTATGTGGAACTTTAATTCTTATAGTAAAGCCTTCAATACAAGGGAATTTGTTTTCATGTAATCCTAAGGTGGGGTTTCTTTTTTTGTTTCTAACGGTCAAGGAAGTTTGGATCAACGTACGCACATCTCGACTAATTTTCTCTTTAATTTGATTAAAAATTGACTATCCACAACAGAATTAAGAAATTCACGAGAGATAAATTCTACATGGCTAAAGTATGACCTTAAAGAGTTACTAAGATTCAGGGTGAATTTATTTTTAGAATAATGTTATTAGAATCTAAAAATTTAATTTAATTTATTAATTTAATAGTGTGTGAAATCACGGAGTTTCAATACAGAAGTCCAATAACTAAAATTAATAATATTATTAGATCATGTCATTATTACGTCGTTATTAAATCAACATATTAGATCAGATCGTTAGATCCTAGTAACATTACTCTTGTTTGTCATTTAATGGATGAAAATCCAACCACACAAAGAGGGAAAAGATTATTATCATAATCGGCGAACTTTCTCAACACCATTTACTTGTTTTTATACAGTTAAAAGGGATTAGCACTCACAAAAATAATTTTTCAATACAATACCAAAAGTAATTAGTAGTGGTGTATTTTGGCTCATTACATTTGTAGCTACTAATAAAAAAAATAAAATAAAATAAAGCATAGTGAAATAATAAAATAAAATTTTAAATATTTTCCATTTGTATAGGACCAAGAAAAAAGGAAAAAAATACTTAAAGGGTTGGTATTGTCAGGCACGCCCGTGCAGGTGCATTTCCATTTGTAGGGTATGTGATATCAACTTTTGTTTGGTCCTTTTGATATTTTCCCTGAAAATGCTGTGAATGCGGTATCAAGAAGGAAAAAAAAAATGACCAACTTAGTAGGAGTAACATTTTCCTTCTCTTTCCTGGAAATTGCTGGTGGAGGAAAAGCTCAATTAGGCCAAGCTGTCTCCTGCATGGAGGCTATTTTTGATCAAGTTATTATTGTGTGTGGGTCCCTCATGAGTAAGAGAATAGATGGTCTATATCAATCTCTCTCCTACACTCACATTGGGACAGAAAATGATAGATGTGAAATGTCCCAGAGGGTAAAGTTAAGGGCTCATTAAAAGTAAAAAAGGGATAAAATTAGGGTTTCATCACAGGGTTTTTAGAAAATAAGTTATCTTCTACATTATAGGCAAATTATTCTTTATAAAGACTTATTAATTAATCTATCCATTGGACTCATATAGCATGGATAATGTTAGACTAAAAAAAAAGCGGGATAAAAAACAATGACTACAAAATACGATGCTGATATGAGTACGTTTTTAATCTTATTTTTACTCAGTTAAATTGTTTACGAGTGTCAACATTACATCAATTATTTCTTATTTTTGTTTTTATTTTATGATTAGCTTTGTTCGAATTTTTTTCTATATTAGACTGCTATTAATTGATAGTTAATTTAGTTTATGAAAAATGAGCTAAATTTATGGTTCAACGAGATAAACCCAATATTATTAAGTGATTTATTTTGATGGGTTTATGTACATCTTTCAATTGATGTGGTTGAGACGATTAAGTGTAGACCTTAATTTAATTGTGGCCTGTAATGAGAGAGCCCATTAGATTTTATTATAAATAGCAGATTCGGTTCTCTCTCCACTTCATAATCCTAAATTGACTTGTCCTATTGAGAGCCGCCTATTGCTTTGAAGAAAGAGATGAAGATCTTGCTCTTTAAAGAAAGAAATTTGGATATCGAGTATCATGGCTCGTAGAGGTATGTTCTAAACCTTGTAATTTAGATGTTCTAAATTTTATATACAAATCATTAAAATTTCTTACATGCAGTATCAGAGCCTATCGTATATGAATTTAGCACCAGATAAAATTTATGTACAATTAAATTACTAATTTTCATCGGAATTAGCGTTCAATTTTTTGTGTCACTGTCTATGGTCATATTGCTTCAAAGTTATGGTACATATATCCATATAGCGTATGTATGACTTTCAAGAAGAAAAAGTAAACAAAAAAAAAAAATTTGACTGTAAACCAACAATTTTTTAATATTTAATGAAGAATTCAACATTCAGTCAATTTATGAACTTGTCTTATTGTTGGCACCACTAAAGCACCTCATTCAAAAAAAAAAAAAAAAGTGAAAGCATCTATGGTAGCCTGTACGTCACATGAAGAAAAAAAACAGGGGGGGGTGGAATCATGATGGCTACGGATTAGTGTTAATACCTTTGGTCTCTATGTTTTGAAGGGGCAGAACCTTTAGGCAAGTTATTTTTTTTTATAGAAAAATTCTTTTGCCTTTGACGTGTGGTTTTCATCTTTTTCAATTTCTTTTTCGTTCTTGTTTTTGTTTTGATTAATTCTTGTGGATGACTCGTGTTAATAATATGGGGTCATGTTGATGAATAGATATAAATTTTATCCATATAAATTATTTTCTCATTGTAATTTTGATTGAATTGCTATAATTTGTAGAGGGTGTTTGTACAATTCTAATTTTAGCCCCTAGTGATTTATATGATGATTTTTTTATGATCTACATATTATTTATTAATGTTGGTAGATTTGAATTTAAATTACTTAATTTTAATAGTATAAAAAAATTTACACCTGAATGCAAGGATTGATGATGGATGATCTAAAGAGATACATATTGATTAGTACCTCATATTGATTGATCACATGATATTTAATTATGGACAATTTATTATAATATCCCGGTTTAAGAAATTTTATGAGTTAAGATGAATGGTTGCCATTAAAGTGGTCTATTCATTGAAATTTATAATTTTTCTAATGCTTTTGTTACGGGGTTATCTCTAAATTATAATATACAATTACCTACTCAAAAGAGTTGTTGTGCATTATAATTTGGAGATGTCATGAAATATTGTGGTCGAGGTGCAATAGTCTAGAAGGTTTATCTGCCCAAAAAGGATAAATTTTTTAAAACTTGAGCATTCGTATTGGTTAATTTCATGAAAGAGGGGACAAATAACATATTGCATTCTCTGCCCGAATGGGAGTTTGTAGTGATGTATTTGAACTTTCTTAATAAAATATGACTTATTATGTTCAAAGCATATTTTATTTTATTTATTATCCAATTTTGCTAATTGTTTATATTATCGTTGCCTTGAACAGTCTCTTTTGTTGTGAATAGTAATAATGTCAATAGTGAAGTCTTAATTGGTTCTAATTATAAGAGATGGAAACAAGATATTGAGTTTATCCTGGGAATTGCTAATATAGACTTTGCCTTAAAAGAAAATGAACCTGCGAAACCTACTAGTGAGAGTTCCCCTAATGAAAAAGAATTTTATACAAAATGGGAGAAATCTAATAGGTTGAGCATGATTGCCCTGAAAAGGTCTATTTCTGAACACTTTATGAGCGGCTTGCCTGAAACCAAGAATGCCATAGAGTTGTTTACTGTTGTAGGAGAGAGATAAAAGGTATCTAACAAGACTGAAGTTGGGGGCCTAATGAATGAATTAACGAGTATAAAATATGACAATGTAGGTGATGTTAGGAAATATATCCTTAGAATGGAAACCTTCAAAATTGTTATTTTTGATGATTTCATTGTTCATCACACTCTTAATTCTTTGCTTTCTGAGTTTAGCCAAATCAAAACTGTCTACAATACCCAAAATGAGTCATGAACAATAAATGACCTTATCTTCAAATGTGATTTTAAAGAAGAAAAAATTAGAAAGAAAAGAGTGAAATTGTTTTGTTTGTTTCTGAGCCTAAATGTAATTTCAAAAGTGGGTATCAGGAAAATAATAGAAAACCTAATCATAATGTTCCAAAGAATGGTCGGGATTTAAAAATGCATGGTACTGATCAAAATGTGGGAGGTTCTAAGACTATCATTCGAAAAGATGTCAAGTGTTATTTTTGCCAAGAAACGAGATTATAAGAAAAGTGAATGTACTCGACTCAAGTCTTGGTTAGAAAAGAAGAATAAAGAAGAAGATAATTCACTAGCCTTTGTTTGATTTGAATCCAATTTTGTTAATGTCCCATTAAATTCTTGGTGGATTGATAGTGGATCTACTGTTCATGTTGTCATGACTTTGCAGGGATTCATAAGTAAACGGAGGCCAAGTGAAGGGGAAGTTAAGCTTAAAGTAGGAGATAATAATGAAATCCATGTTGAATTTATAGGAACTGTTATGTTAAATTTAGACACTGATTTTCAACTTATTTTAGAAAATACTTTTTATGTATCGTCATTTACGCTGTATTTGATTTCAGTTTCTTTACTTGATAAAATTGGATATTGTTTTAACTTTTGTAATGGTAAAACTCAATTGTCTTTAAATTTCAAAATTGTTAGTCATTGTGTTTTATCAAATGGTTTATATAATATATATTTGTCTGTCAATAATAAATATGATCTTTCAAATATTGTGAATGTTGTATTTAAAAGACCTTTCATTAAACAAAAATCTTCACAGTTGTGACATAAACTTTTGGTTCACATTTCTAGAGAAAGAGTGAAAAAATTAATAAAAAATGATATTCTTCATCTCCTTGATTTTGGAGACCTTGAAACTTGTGTTGACTTTATTAGGGGTAAATTGACCAAGACTAAGAAGAAAAGTGCAACTTGCAGTCTAGATCTTTAAAAATCATTCATACTAATATCAGTGGACCTCACTCATGTATATTGTGTGATAATAAATATTTTATTATATTTATTGATGATTTCTCTCATTATAAATATATTTATTTAATTAATGAAAAATCTGATGCTCTTGAAAAGTTTAAAATTTTCAAGACTGAGATAGAGAAACAATTAGAGAAAATTATCAAAATTGTTAGGTTTGACCGTGATGGTGAGTATTATGACAAATACGACGTATTTGAGCAACATTTGAAACCGTTTGCCAAATACTTACAAGATTGTTGGATTGTTGCCTAATATACCATGCTTGGTAGTCCCGACCAGAATGATGTGGCTGAAAGGCGTAATCGCACCCTTAAAGACATGATGAGGAACATGATGAGTAGGCGTAATTTATCTGATTATCTTTGGGGAGAAGCCATTAAAATGGCTTCTTACAT